TTATTTATAATGGAGCACACAATGACAGGAAGACGCTGGGGATTTTGATACATAAACATGTCCCGTCAAGTATACGCGCGCTATGAAAAGGTCTGATTTAAAATAGTATCTAGAAATTGTACAGGATTCGACAGTTTACTTGTCACAAAGTCGATATGACGTTAAAAGCTTCAGTTCAAATTACCACTCCAGGTTCATTTCTTTTGTAATGCACTATACAATTTATTTCCCTGTTTTAACAAAAGTCAGTAAAATGTGACTTTGGGAACCGGTGAATGATGAAATAGATCAGGATATTTTTAATTTGAAATTATTCGAAATTATATCAATAAAACTCTTTGAAGAGCAATATTGTCAGACTAACAATACTGAGCATAAACTTGCTCAGTAACCTTAACCTTAAATAGTGTGCCCAGAACTTAGTGGCCTTTGACCTCTTGTTTTAAAAAGGTATATTTCCGTCCCGTTAGCCTCGGAACGATCCTAAGTCTAAAAATTTCCTAAACTTGACTCAACCAATCACAAATATGTATGCAATCGCTAGGCTGATACATGTTCTTTGAAGATTACAAAGGAGCTTCGACCGACTTCATGTTTTTTACCGTTGCGCGACCGCGTGATTCATTTGATATACCTCAAAGGATAGAACTAGTCTTCTTGTCTCATCAACAAGGTGATGCTGAGTGAGACTGAGTTTTCATATTTTGACATATTCCGGGCGTGCATAGGGCGAAAACAACCGTAGCCCCTTGAGTATAGAGGGTATAACCGTTGTCACGTGTATACAACACGCAGGGCAGAATGGCGGTAAACAGAACTCGATTTTGTTATCTTTTACATGCTTAATCTGTTTATAATAACATGCATAAGTAAAAAGAGTTACATTGATTCAGAATAGAGCCATATACACTGACTAGAATATGTAGATAGAAACAATTATAACTACCAAATATGACAGCCATGACGACAGGTAAATTATCCTCAATAGGACCTCCGCCGAGAGGGGGGGNAATGTTCTATTTTTCAAGGTGGAAGTGTTAATAAAATACACACGCGTGATGCGGCATAATTCTCTGTAATGTCGATAGCACATTGAGGTTGTGTATGATATGTTTATATGAACAGACCATTGTAAATTGGCAAAGTATGTCTGTTTGCTTCTTGGTATATATTCCGCATTATAAAATACAAATGTACCTTCAAACTAAACTTAACTCTGCAATACATATAATCTCCTACTATTTGCAAACTCTACAAACCATATACGCAGAATAACAATTGGTCTAATGTAACATTTGATCTTGCTCTTAGTACACGTGTCGAAATTGAATATCAATATCAGATATCAATACGATATGTGTACGAGTCGGACAAAAGACCGGTAGTAAGTGTATGAATGTACTTTTTCTGTATTGAGGCGTGTCTATTCATATATATATACAATTTATCACATACTGTAAGTGTTATCCAGTGAATTTACCCATGTCATATTTTTTGCGTATTAACCCATGTAATTGACTTAACAGCCCTATGATTGGCTGTAAGTTTCAATTGGTTCAATTGTGACGTCACACCTAGGACAAGTACATGACGTCACCGACTTACCCACTGGAGTCAAAATGGCGGGTTTTTACATTTCAAGGTTGAATGAAAATTGTCGTTACACGAATAAATGCCACAAATCTTGATTATGTGATAAAATCGATCTTACACTCGTTTTTATTTCATATGAAATGGAAACTCCTATTTATACTTTAATATACATTTGTTTTTTGAAAGCTCACAGTTATCTAGCTAAGCTTAAATTAAACGGCATTCAAGTACTAGTGATAAAGACCGTTTAAATGTTCATACAAAAATAAAATGAAAATGTTATGAAAATGAAACATTGTATGGATACGGGGTAAAAGGCATTCTCGATACTCCAGGGGTTACGCTCACTTTTGCTCTCTGCACCCCTGGAATATATCATAGCAAAAAGAAGGCTCAGTGTGCACCGCCTTGTGGATGAGACGAGAAGGCTAGTTTGATCATTTGATGTTCATCAAAAGAATCTCGCGGTTGTGAAACGGTAAAACGTATTGGTTTTGAAGTCGGGCGTCGCTCATCTGTAATCTTCAAAGGACAAGTATCAGCCTATTGATTTGTCAGGTTATCCTAGCTGACTCCAATCAAATAGCTAACCGCGTGCCTTCAATTTACTGTGACATTTTCCAGGGGTGCAGAGAACGAAAGTGAGCGTAACTCCTGGATATCGAGTATGGATACAAGGTATAGGGTAAATACATTTAATGTTTTATTTTAAAAACAATTATGAAATAAGTAATTACAACTCATATCTATCATTTCTGTTAGTCCACATGTTAGCGCGCTTGAGGTCTTAATGTTGGAGGAAACAAGAGTACCTGGAGAAAACCCATGTGTCCGGGCAGGTGAACCCATACCATTTTATACCCGAACGGGGAATCGAACCCCGGCCGCCTTTGTGAAGGGTGTGTGCGTTATCCTATGCGCCACCCGATCACATATGTTTTGAAACCGATGAGTCAAACGACCCAAGGTAATAAAGAACTTGAACTTAAAGGGTACCGGATAGATGTGAGGGTATGGGATATGAGGTATATGGTACAGGTTATGGAATACATGATACGGGTACGCGTAACAAAGTAAAGGGTACATGCTACAGATTATGGGATACATGGTACAGGTTATGGAGTTCAAGATACAGGGTACGGGTAACTAGGTACAGGGCAGGAAACGTGCTACAGGTTATGGGGTACAGGACACAGGGGATGGGGTACAAGGTATCTGGTATCAGGTACATGTTATATGGTACATGATACAGTGTACGGTGTATAAGGTACAGGGTGAATGGTTTAGGGTACTTATACATGTTATGGGGACCAGGATACGGGTAACAACGTATAGGGTACGTGATACAGGTTATGGGTTACATGATACAGGGTGCGGGTACATGTACCAATGTATAGGTTACGTAGAACAGGTTATGGGGTACAGGATACAGGGTAAAGTAACAAGGTATATTGTACGGGGTACAGGGTTATGGGGTAGAGGGTTATGAGGTACATGATACAGGTAACGGGTAACAACGTATAGGGTACGTGGTACAGGTTACGGGTACATGTACCAATGTATAGGTTACGGAGTACATGCTATTGGGTACATGATACAGGGTAAGGTAACAAGGTATAGGGTACGGGGTACAGGGTACGGGTAACAAGATATAGAGTACGGGGTACAGGTTATAAGGTACATGATACAGGGGAACGGGTAACAACGAACAGGGTACGTGGTACAGGTTATTGGGTACATGAAACATGGTACTGTTAACAAAGTACGGAGTACAAGGTACATGGTACGATTAAGAGAACATCCATAAGATTAATGTATATCATAAGTTAGGGATGTACAGTCAGCGTTTTTGTAATTGCCCATATCGCCGGAACATTTCAATTTACAAGGATTTTAACTGGACGGGTATTGTTTTTAAGTGTCTTCCGATATGCAAATGTGTTCCTTTTCTGAATATAACACTGTTTACAGTTGGACTTATATTTCGTGTTAACATCAGGTGCAGAGAGAGAGTAGCACATGTTGTCAGTATTCAACCTAAACTAAACTCAAATGGGAACTACAACCCACTAAAACACCTGATTTAGTTGCGGTAGTCCTGAATAGGTAAAGGTTTTGCCAAATTACAGTGGTCTATTTTTAACAACTATCTATATTAGGAACAAGCCATTCGGATTGATATGTCTCGCCTATGCCCCGCTTTGACCATCAATGTACATATCAGAGAAACTAACTTAAACCCAAAAACTTAATGTTGATGGAGATGCTGACAAAATCAATGGACCATGGAAGGTATGCCGCATCCAGCATTTGATGCATGGGTTAAGATGTACTACCTAAGATGCATCTATGATGCAAGTTTGGTAGATCTAGCGCTTATACTTTCAGAGAAAAAAACGTAATGTTGATGAAGATGCTGACAACGTCAATGGTCCTTGAATGTTATGCTGCATCCAGCATTTGATGCATGGGTTGAGATGTACTAACTAAGATACACGTATGGTGCAAGTTTGATTGGTCTAGCACTAAAAATTTCAGCGAAACTAGCTTAAACGAAAAAACGTAATGTCGATGGAGATGCTGACAAAGTCAATGGACCATGAATGGTATGCCGCATCCAGCATTTGATGCTTGGGTTGAGATGTTCTACCTAAGAAGCATCTATGGTCCAAGTTTAGTTGGTGTAGCAATTATACTTTCAGAGAAACTAACTTGAACACAAAAACTTAATGTTGACGCCGTCGCCGTCGCCGGAAAAGCAACACTTATGTCTCGCTTCCACTTCGTGGCGGCAAGACTTTTTTGTTTGTTTGATTTTGTTTAACGTCCTATTAACAGCTAAGGTCATTTAAGGACGCCCTCCCCTGTGTGCAAGATGCTTACGTGTAGTGTAGTGTATGTGTGTGTATTTTGGGAGGCTGCGATATGTTCGTGTTTGTCTCCTTGTGATAGCGCGGAACTGATGCCGACTTTATAGTGCTACCTCACTGAGACATACCGCCGAAGACACCCAGCAGGACGCCCCACCCGGTCACATTATACTGATAACGGGCGAACCAGTCGTCCCACTCCTAATTTGCTGAGCGTTAAGCATGAGTAGAAACTTCCATTTTTTTGAAGACTTTGGTATGTCTCGGCCAGGGGACAGAACCCAAAGACTTCCTCACAGGGGCGAACGCTCGACAAATGGCCAAAAGTGAGGCATTGTCAAGGGAGACATTAGGAAGAAGAAAGTTATTTAGAAAGGAGAGAAGAGATAAGGTCCCAAATTTAGTCGCCTCTTACGATCATGCAATTGGGGGCAGCAGGTACAATTCTTACGCCCTACCTGCAGGGACTGGCGGCAAGACACAAAATGTGCTGTATCACGGTGTGCGTTTAATCAACTTCCGCCTTGAGACGTGATATACCCCATACAGATGAATATGGCGTTCGCGAGGGGTCGTCCAGCTGTGGTCCTTCTGTGGATACTTTACCTGTCGTCATGGGTACAACTGTCGATAAGTACAGGTAGGAACTAATGGCATGTAATACTCTTGGTCGGATTTCTTTTAAAAATAACAAATATATTTGCATTTGTAAACCATTATTTTGTGTATGGCTGTATGTAATTGTATTGGTTGATGTGCCATATTGTGTGTGCAAAGCAGTGCTAGCTCATTTAAGTTAACGTTTATATATTGTATATGTATATAGGTATTGAAACTACTCCAACGTGTAAGACAATAAGATATAGTCACAGATACCTCCACATGGCGATACTGTTGTATGTCGTTGTTGAATGTTGACCAAGGTTTTAATGTTTTTCTTTCAAATATTGAGACCATGTTTGAAAGAGAGTTATATTTAGATAAATTGTAGATAAATATTACACCCAACTCCCATCCCCCACCCCGTGTAATACATTTGGATGATGCCTTCAAATAAAATTTAAGCAAAGCGATGGTCCCCTTCTAAAGTATGCTTCTAAAATATAAATGTCGTTTACGTCATGTCAGGCTAAAACAGATTTGTTCGACTGTAATATACAACTAAGTAATAGTCACACGATGATAAACGGTCTACTGGCGATGTTACACAACTGGGCTACGTTCCGCATTACCGATTAAAGTCTTAAGGTAATAGGATTGTGTTGCCATTTCTCAGTAGAATTTATTCAAATTTTGTAGTTATATTGCTTTGAAGAAAAGAAAATTTTCTACCCCCCAAAAAAAATTAGTTGTCAGAATTTTAAGGATTTTAAATAGAAATTTATGTAAAAAGGAGTGAATTTTGAAAAAAATATTGACATTTTATAATAAAACCATATACACATAGTAATTGCATGCAAGAGTTATCGTTCTTGAAAAACTTCACAGTAGTGAAATAGGTCGCCGGTTTCCTGAAGTACAGAAAAATGGACACATGTGACTCATTGATTAAAAAACAACTGAATTAATGCCTGGATTGCTTTGAAATACTTTAATATTGAAAGAACACACTGTTCTGTCAATAATAAGCATATAATATTCATCACTTTAATAGTAAACATTAGATTATGCGGAAATTGTGATACTGTCTCCCTTTTCAACAAGGGATGTACTTCCTATTTCCGTTTAGCAATACATTCCTATGACCTTAAGAAGGACAAGACATACGTATACCACACATTGTATTCATTATTACAAAATGGACGTAAATTTCGTCAGGGAAAGGTTCAGAATATATCTGAACTAGAAAGGAATCAACGCAATAGTTTGGCCATATTTAGTGTTTTTCTTTATAAGCAGGAATGCGATATTAATTTCGACCACCGCCATTTAAATATTTATATACAGAAATATATATATATATAACTAAAAAAGAAAAATCTACTGTACTATTAAAAACATGATGTTGAAATATTATCTTTTTAAATAACTGTAAGGACAATTCTACTATTGTTATGATATACGTGTATATATATGAACATTTGCTCTGCAGTGACGTAGCAAATCATGTTTCGGAGTGTTTGCTATAGATAGTCGAAAGTCCGATGGGGCGTAGTGCCGGAGGAGAGGAAGGATATATGGGAGGACAAAACATTCTACTAGGCCCTAGAAGCAATCTCCCGTGCTCTGTGAACTCCACTTAGACTGATTATAAACAATAAACATTATATGAATAGTATTAGATTTTGTACTTCACAAAGCATTTTTTTTTATTTACATCAACCTTCGAGATTTGTCAATGTGTATAGTTATAACATACCAACACTATATTATCAGACTAAAAGTTTCAAGAAGACTGTTATTATTTCTTTCCTTTTTTATGATTGGTACAGGAGGTCCATATTTATGATAACAAAAAAGAAATTAATAAAAATATATCATTAAAAACAATTATTGAAAATTTTAGTGTATGCTTGAGCATTTGTTCCCCTGAGCCCTATGAACAACTTGATTCATATTATTCACCGTTTCATATAAGAATATTATAAAACGTGAATACTGGAAAAAGTATCGATATTTTTGTGTTTATTTCCACAAAATATATTTTTCACGGGTAACGTCACGAGACAACATTCCGTGAGCAATGCGCAATTACATACCATATATCTCAGCGGGAAAAAACAAGGCAATGCAATTTGAAACATGATAACACGTAGCTTTATTAATCTTGTCTCGGCCTCATTTAGGGGGAAAATGTATCCGGTGACTCTTTATAAGTTTCTTGCATATTCTGTTATCTTAAAGCCCTCAACCAATTGTGTGCCAGAAAGCCGATTTTGAGCCAATGCAGGTGCTGATGCTCTTATGTAATTTATTGAATCATTAGATAATGTTTGTTGTTTGTTAATATATTTGTTTTTTAAGTGAACAGCTACAAAATCTGTTCCTTATGTTGAATAATAAAGCAATTTATATGATATGAATCTTAATACAGAGTTTTTAAACAAGAATTGTTCTTAAACAAAAACCTCCGAGACTAACTAATGTCTACTGTAAATTAAGAATATATAATGTCTAGCACTGCCCAACCACGTACTCATTTACAGCTGAGTAGACTGGAACACGCGGAGTAAAGTGTCCTGCTCAAAGATACAACACAGTGCCGTGCAGTGACTTTACAGTAGACTCGAACCCGCAACCCTTCGGTCACGAGCCCGGCGTCTTACCGCTAGACCACCGTGCCTCCTAATATGGTATTTGAATAAAGTAACTGATTATGGGTTAGTCTCAATAGTTAAATTCATCAAGGTTTTAATTGATAGAATTACCTGTACTAATTGTACTTTTGCATATTTTGAAATGTTTTGTAAGTAAAATCTTTACACTGTGACCATTTTATGAGAATAAAGTCTTTGTCATCGCCAAGGTCATTGACATATACATTAGGCTGACGTTTGGTATACCGCACATTTATAGTCGCCGACACCTTGTTTACGTAATAAACTCATGAACAAGAAACCGTTTGCGTAAACAAGCGACAATGAACCGGAACATGGTATAATGTCTTATTCATATTAAAATTCTTCATACGACTGTCGGCGGTTTACTGCTTTTGTGTATGTGACAAAGGTATATCTCCAGAAAAATATTAATTCCAACAACAAACCCCGGTCACGTGATGTCCCGAGTGAGCTGACCGGTGTTTGTGTGGTGGTAACTTTTTCTCTACATACGGATATTAATGGAATGTTTTCTAAATTCTGAAGCCAAGTAAGTGTGCATGGGGAACTTTGTGATGTAAACGAAGCAAACAGTATTGTGCAAGTCATTCGCTAGCTTGACTATTGACAAAATTTGTGATTTGTGTACCTGAGTATAGGGCGACCTGTTTCTAAATATAGCAACGCCAATAACGAGTATTGAACAGTGCACGCACATACCTTTATCGATACGGAAGACCAGAGGTATACAATGAACGTGTCGAAGGACGATACATGTTTACTTATCACCCCAGAGCAGGCCTTAGCTTTCGCAACCCCAGTTAGCGAACATTTGAAAGACAAGCGGAAACAAATGTCCAGTCCGCGGTCTCCAGATATAGTAGAAAACAAGCGTCCCGACTTGGGATCGTCTGGCAATTATGAATCGCTGTTTTCGCCGGAATTCATGCATGATTTCGCCCAGATGCTGGCCCCAACCATAGCAACAATGGTCTCTAATTTAATCGAACAGTCGCTTACTCACACCATCCAGCCCCTCATACAAAGTGCTGTGAATACTGCCATTCACAACGATAACCAACTAAGCGGTATTATCACCAAACATGTTAATGCGGAGGTAACTCCTCTTATCGAAGTTATAAAAACTCAAGCATCAGAGTTGAAAGAACTCAAAACGGAGATAGGCGAACTCCAAACGGCATTAGAAGACCAGCAGCAGTACTCCAGACGTACCGCTCTGAAGTTTCATAATGTCCCTATCCCCGGGGGAGATGTTTCGTCCTTTGACACTCATGATGCAGTCGTCAACATTGCCCGAGCAATCAAAGTCAACATTACTCGCGACGATTTGTCCAGGTCCCATATTCTTGGAGGAGTAAGGAACGGTACGACTACGATCATCGCGCGTTTCGTCCGATATACTGACCGACATAAGGTCTTTCGGAACAAAAAACATTGTAAACATCTCGCAGACAAAATCTTCATAACGGAAAGTTTAACTAAACCCAGATCAGCCCTTGTCGGCCGGCTCAACAAACTACGACAGGACAGCTACATAAATTCCCTATGGACGATGGATGGNTCTGTGTACTAACTTCAATCTTAGCGTCCATCAATATCATAACCGTTTCCATATGACAAAGAGTGCGTGTCCGGTTTTCCTAATCTAGTCGGCTAAGTATGTAAGGCAGGAATTCACAAAAGGACTTGGAGTGACACAGGAGAAAGGCAAATGCGGCACGGAATGTGATTGAACTTTAGAAAAGTAGAAGGACATGTATGTATAGATTAGTTATACTGCTTACGCCGACTTGATTGGGAAAATCACGCACGCGATCTCAAGTAAACTCTCCGAATACATATTTAAAAACTATACGTTGGTGTCCCTAATCCTATCATTACCTCTTTTGCTGTTACCCATCTTTAACATCTTATATATATATACATATATGAATTGTATTAGGTTATTACGTGACTCATTAATTTTGTATATATATTTTCTGTTACGGAAAGGACGTAAGTAAGTTGCAATAACTTTTGTCCAATCCATTTGTCTTTTGTTGCAATAAAATTGATTTAAACTAAACTAACAACAGCTCTTATTTCTCATTATTTATTCATATGTTATTCAGGTATGAAGTTAAGATAAAGTTCTGACATGCAATTTTTTTCTCGCTACATGTATACCTATCTACACAGGGACCTGAGAAATTGTTACAGCTATATTTGAACATAAACTAAGGTGTTTAGAGTCATTTTACACGGTTTATGTTTGCACTCCGCCCGTCTTTCCGTCCAAGAAGTTTGTCCGGGATATTTCTTCTATACTCTATCACCTGGAGTAATCAGATTTGGTGCACAAAAACATCTTTGGTTGGCG